GAAATCGTGCTACATAAGAAATACAAAAGAAAGAAGTATGCATTCAAGAGCACAGCTGTGAGGGAGTATTTCAAGACACTTTCAATGTTTACATCTACTCTCTCAACAAGGGTAGAAATAACAATAATAATTTTAACTAAAGCTACTCTCTGCGGGGGCAGGGAGAGCTTGTCAATAAAACAAATGAGTTCCAACATTACAGAAATGCTCTTTTCACCTAGACTGACTGCCTCCAACTGTAAGATATACATAAATCCAGACCCTCTGGACATGGAAAAAAATATCTACAGGGCATATTTTGCATATCAGCATAATTTGACTGCCTGTGATTTCTCAAAAAAACAGAAATGTGAGAAACATTTTGACAGTTCAGTCTAATTCCAGAATTCTTTTGGCTATGTAGTTGCTAGTTGTGAGTGATGCACATAATTTCCCCTAACCTAAAGGAAAAGGAGGTCAGGTTTTTGGGCTTGTGGGGGTTTTTTGAGGTTTTTTGCTGTTGTTGTCTTTTGGTAGGGTTTTTTTAGTTTTTGGGGGTGGGATTTTTGGGGTTTTGGGTTTTTTGCTATGAAGTGAAATCCCTTTTGCATCACTAAAAAATAGAGAGCTAAAAATTATTTTATACACAGCTCTCTGTGACAGGATATTTGTGAGAGGTTGTTCAGGCAACAGATGCAGTTTAATAAAGCTGGCATGACTTGAGGATCATTTGGAAAGATTTCTCCCATGATAACAACAACATAAAAAGTATTAAAGTACAATTAATGTTGTTGCCCTCGATGTAATAGATATGGTAAGAAAAGGTCATCCTATGGACTGTTAACAGCTACTCTGAGCACAAGAGCAGCATCTTTGCAAGGCAGGTGATCCTCTATCCTAACCCAGAATCACATGGCAATTTTCCTGCCCTAGGGTTCAGACCAGAATAACTCTGAAAAATTATACAAAGGCAGCTGGACTTTGGAAATCATGAATGAAAAAATAAAATAATCATTTTCACTATCATTGGGTAGAAAAAACCACACACACAAGATATTAAAGGTAGAAAACCATGAGGGGGAAAAAGCAAAAAGTTTTATAAATTACTTTGCAGGTGGAACTTGGTTATTATTCTCACTTAAAATTTCCAGAACACCATTAAATATTTTCTGCTTTCAAACTTCTGGCTTCTGACCTGGCCAGACACCTTCGCAATTTTTTGTTTCTAATCACTAATTGTCTTTTGAGACCTAGATTTAAGGTGCCAATTATCCATGACCTGCATACTTCAATGTCAAAGAGTTCAGCAACAAACTCTAGGGCAAGCTGTTCCAGCTTCTTGACAAGAGGAGATGAGTTTTTACTACTGGAACTTACTTGGGGGCCGGTTGGGAAAGCCACCTTGTAGTGTTATGGAAAGGTGAAAGATAACAAAAAGGCAGGACAGAACTGACTTGTGAACAATCCATGGAGAGCTCTAACAGTTTAAGAACAGAGATAAAATTCTGGAAAGCAGAAGCCTTCTGGTTTTATTCTCAGATCAGTAAACAATGGGCCATGTGGAATAAAATATTGAGGATTACATGGTTGTCTACTTCTTTCCCCAGTTTACCTACAAATACAGCTGCCTGCACATACACAGCTAAATGAGTAGAGGTCAGAGTTTCCAAGATTTTCATCAAAATTCCAAAGAATCTGGAACCACTCCATTTCTACAAAGCAAATTGCAGTTTTAAGGAGCCTGGTCACATCTTGAGGTTTGCTCGTGTACCTCATGGGGACCTTGTGAGAATTACTAGGTGGGAGTAGGAGTTCATACAAAAAGGTATTCAGCATGGCTCACAGCCCATCCATTTCTACTCCTATAGTCATGAGTAACAGAGCTGAACCTTAGAGATACCTTTTTACTGGGTACAAAAGGCAGAGCAGAGCATAAGCTAGGGACTGAGAAAGGCATGCTGCAGAAGCATCTTCTCTTACCTCTTGCAATATTCTGTGTACAAAGAAACTGCCTCAGAAGCATCTTTTCAACTCCCTCCTATTTGCTTATTTATTAAACTCACATTTATCTTATTTTCAAGGTGACAACAGAAGAGTTTGATTTTTTAGGCCAGAGTCTCATCTCCAGCCTCTATATCTTATACCCTGTCATTTTTGAAAGACACTTTTTTTTTTCCTATCCAGTTGGCAAGCAGTTTGAGTCCTGCACTGATTGGTAGAAACTTAAGGCAATTTTCCTAGGATTTTTGTCTTTCCACTCTGCACTGCCCAGCTCTGCCAGGTTTCATTCACCCCACCTGCGTTTGGGAGGGCTGCCTTACACATTACCAAATGCAGCTCCACACCAGCCTATATTATAACACTGGTCTGGATCTCCATCATCTTTTGGGCCATACTGATTGCCCAGACAGATCTGCTTCAGGTGAAATGCTAATACAATTCTTGCCAAAAAGACATCTCCCTGCTTTTTTCCAAATTAGCAAAAAGGCATAGAAAATACTGACGTTTTATGTTTTCCAGGAATATTCTCACACTCTTTCTAGGAATAAGCAAGGACATCTCTTTGCCCTCCCATTATTACACATGTGCACAGTTATAAGAAAATGCTCTGAAGGGACATCAAGCAAATAATACCAATTTTCAAAATTCTATAGCAATATATTTATACAAATTACAGAATTCTGTACGTATTTACACACCATTACAGAATACCAAGTAAAAATAACACCAATCGTTCTTTTCTTTTTCCCTCAGATTTTTCTTCAAGTCAATTTTAGAGCTCGAGAAAGGTGCCAGATGGGCAGCACTAGAAGGTGAAGACTTCTGTTTGCCCACAGCACAGGAGGAGAGGCACTGCAAGCCTCCCTGCTTTGCCGTGTCAGCTCTCTGCAGCCCTGATTTAGCAGGATCACATAAGGAGCAGGAGGGTGTCCGTGCCCCTTCACACCTTCCTGGCAAAGGAGCTGAGCAGCACCCAGGTGACAATGGCTTTGCCCATCCCCCACCCAAAACCAAACAGAAATAGCTCATTTTACACAAGGGACTGAACAGAATCAGTTGTTCACTACCCAAAACAGGCCAAATTTGACCCAGTGAACCTGCAGGGAGTGGCAAACTGCCAGCTCCTGGGCCTTCCAGTCTTGCAGTAATGCCTAAGTTAAATTACATGTTTCTATATTTACATAAAGTCAGTATTTACACACCATTACGGGTTATTCGAGTAAATCGGTTACAGTTTATTTAGAAGGACTGCCATAAACTCATAACATTTTTCTCGAGTTTAATCCTTTCTGTAGAAAAATACAAAAAAAAATAAATTAAACATGTTAACTAGTAGTAATGATTAGCCTATGACTAAAAAAATCCAAGTCAATTTAACATTAAGACTTTAACTGTGGCCTAATATTGCGGCCTAGACTCAGAGTCATTTTAACCTTTGTAAATAATTTCCTGGTGCGTGTCAGATTTACTGAAACAGTAGAGAGTTGCAACCTCCCTTCCTCGTGGTGGGCTTAATGCATTTACCACAGAGCAGTGAGCCCTGGTCCTGCCCAGGAGCACCTTTTCTTCTCCTACAATCTCTGCATGGCCCACACGAACGATCTGGCACCCGACCGACCCACTGCAGCCAAACCATCCGAGCCCCAAAGGCTGGGACACAAACGTGTGGGCTGCAGCTGAAGGCTGTAAATTCCCAGGCAATAACAGTCCCTAGACAAGTACCCTACAAATCAACTAATGTAATTTATGTCTCTTTATCATCCATGAACAATCACAACAAAACGCCGTGTTGTGTTTGAGATCACTGATATCGCCGGTTGAGACATGGCTCCTCCTACCTGCTTCAGCACCGACAGGGAATGTTTGTTCAGCACACCGACCCAGAGGTCATTACAGAACAGAAATAAGTTTCAAACCATATAAATCAGATGGACAAGGGTGCTGTAGAGCAAAAATTTCTTAATTACAAGTAGGCTTCAACCTTTTACATCACTCCTCCAAAGGAACCCCCGTGCGTACGCAGACAGCCAAGGTGTCAGGACCAGCCCTGCTCCCAACATATCCAATGGTGAAGGCTACACTCAACTTAATGGCACTGGGTTGAAATCCTAAGGGATAAAACAACTACAAAATGCATTTGTCATATGGATCCTAACATGGTTTTCATCTCTTTTTTTTTCCCCCTTTTCTTCAGAGTATTAGGGGGGAAAATGCCTCTTCCTGAGGGTTAATTTCCAAATAGTAACTGCTAATCAATCTTCGTGCGCTTATCTTAAAATGCTACATACCCTTAAATATTATATACTGTCTCCTCGCTTAGGGTTCATGAATATTTGAACATACTTTAGGAAAAACAATAAAAATAAGTCTAATACTGTCCCCCTCATAGTCATTATTGATAGAGATTTATTAGTTTCATTTTGCAAGTTTTACTTTAGGAAGGGTGCTAATATCATGTATTATGACAGTTCACACTGAAAGCAGTTTTCCATAAAAGGTATTACAATGACCCCTATGGAACTTGTATAATTTCATAGTAGATAGTCAAGTGCACAAATAAACATGTTTACAAGAGTGATCCTGTTAACCTGGTTCTTGCCCTCTGAAATATCTATGTGTTCTTTGTGGAATCTTAAAATTAGTATAATTGTTGTTGGTATTACTTATGTTGTTTCTGTCATTCTCTTTAGGAAAAAAAATAGCATATTTATCATTTAGCTTTGGTATAATCTGCAATAGGTTTTAACAAGTAGAATATATTCCAACCTCTATATTTTCCACAGCTGTGAAATTTACAATGATGTAAGAAGTCACTTTATCAGAGAGGAAATATTACACACACATAAAAAAAAGTTGAAGACCCAGTTTTCTCTTTAATCCTCTGGGGTAAGCTATGAAACAAGCAGTCAGAAGAGTGAGGACTCAGTGTCATGAGTGGTGTGCACACTTGTACAATAATACGGGCACAAAAGAGATTGTCGCCTTTAGTACATGAGGGTCACTAGAATTTATTATTGTTATTACCTTTTTATTGTTGGCTTTTTTTTTTATCCATGCACCTTTATATTTACTTGCATGAATTTACCACAGGTTCATAGTGGCCTTTGCCATTTCAATGCTTACAGAGCCTAAAGCTTCCAAAATGCCTATCTGGCCTGTACATATTTCATTAAAAATAAACTCTATATAATAAATAAATATATAAAATAAATAAAATGTTGCCTTTGGAATTTCTATAAATAAATTTAACTTTTTATTTTTATTTTTTTTACTAAGAGGTCTTTGCTTTAAACTCAGTGGGGTGAGACCCAGAGAGCAATTAACTGAAAAGTCTCTTGTTTAAGTAAGACTGCACCCTCCATGCCTTTGTAAATGCAGCGTACACTTGAGCAGGCCACCAGCCAAAAATCCTGATGAATCGAAGTATGGCAGCTATGCTGATATATGACGAAGTACAACTGATCAAAAATTTAAAAGCGTGTCTATTCCCCAGCATGCATCAGGCCTTCCTCCTCCTCCTCACCCTCCTCCTCCCCTCGGCTCTTCTCTCTCGCGCTCTCACTCCCATTCATCCTCTCCCTTCCTCTCTCTCTCGCACTCACTCTCTCACGCTCCCTCTCGTACTAAATCAAGCGAGTGGGCATAGGCTCTCCTCCAGGAGGACAAACCTTTAAGTGCAGAACAAAATCAGCATGTTCCATCCAAGCCTCCATCATACATTATGCATGCGACAAAGTTTGGCAACAGTGGAGCTGATGTGATGACACAGCTAATCAATAAGAACCCACCGCATGAAACCTTTATAGTGGTTACTTTTTAAGGGCTCAAGTGAAGGAATTGTCTTTGTCAACTTTGGCTTAAAATATCCTTATATAGTTCTGGTACTTTCTCAGGGTCCACCGGTCTAGGTAAAAAATGTGTAAATTTTTGATGCCGTTTAGTCCTAGTCCCTTCTCTTGGAGTCCCATCTTTATTTAACGCAACGTAGTATCGTCTTCCAGTGTCCACATGTTTATATAGATTTGATGAATATGTGTTATACCAGTTTTCTTCAAATTGCTCTCTGAATACACACTCCTGGGTTAATTTTTCCTGTGGAAAGAAAAGAAAGAGCAGTAAGGAGACAGCCACTAAAATAAGCTACTTGTAAAAGAATCACTATTTTAATGGCTTGAAACTGGTATCTCCTCAATAAATTGCAGAATAAACTATTTCAATTCTCCCAGTTTTAGATATAAAGATCTGTATTACTGGGTGTTTCAGGAGGCAGTCAGAAGGGTGGATAATTCTATGTGAAGCAAAAATGACTCTCAAAGCCTCACTGCCCAAATCAATACCGTAACAACAAAGATGAAAACAGATAGTTTTCATTTCTGAGAGCTCCCAAGCAGCTCACAAGACCTTACTGGACTCCTGTAACAAATTGTTTCAATGGTGAGTGCAGGCATTCAAACAAACAGATATAAATAAAATAAATTAGAACCAGTTTGCAGGGCTGTAATAAAATTTACAGTCTTAAAATCTCTATGTTGTTTCAATGCATGGAGAACTTGGTGCATTTCATTAATTTAAAGACATGCAATTTGCTAGCCTTCATTAGATTTATTGTTTGTATCATGAAGCCACAATCCAACAAAGCTTCAAGCAGGAACATGAACCCTGTGTGCTGAGATGAAGCAGGCAAGGAAAAGCCCTCCAGGTTTGCATTGTCAGGGTTGTCCTTGTGTCCCATCCTACTGAGGACAGGACCCACTGAGGATATCAACCATTCATCAGATCCCCCTGCCACCACAGAATCCCACTCCTCCCAGTTGACCCACTTCTTCAGTCTGTGTGTTGCCTTCCACATCCTTAAGATTACTTAAATTTGCTTTTTAAAATTTTGCTTAATAGAGTGCTTAAAACACAGCCACCTGATAACCAGACTCATTTTAGGAAGGACTCACACAAATTACTGGGAAAAAAAGGTGGTGAGCATGGGAGAGCTGATGGAAAGCTGGGAAAAATAAGCCTGAAAATAGTCTTTTCACCAGGCACAAGAAAAAAATAGTGATAATTCAACGAATTTTTTGCAACAAGTTCTCATTTCAATAGCACTCACATCAACCACACCCAGCTTCCAGCTGAGGATCAATTTCTAATTATTACAAGGTTCCATACAATGCATGTGTTTTACAGATATTAAATCTTAAAACAGTTCTTTTAGACTGGAGCGTGGAGATGGGAAAACAGAGACCAAGGCCCAGATGCAGCAATGTATGGCATCTAGGCCATAAACTTGTGCCTGCACACAACTAAGGAGCCACAGCTCAAGCACCCCTAAAAACCAGCTTCCATGACTTCACCAAGGAGCTTCCCAAGGTTTACCACCATCAAACCTTTCCTGAAGCTGCAGGTGCCTTTGGGGCCATCTCTGCTGCTTCAGATTCAGCTCATAGCCCTTTCCCAAGCCAATGTGCTTTGGCCCAGATGTTTCACTGCTGCTGTGTGTGGCAAGCACTCTGCTCCCAGGGCAGCCCACTTGGGCTGGGGACAAGAGAGGCCCAAGGAGCCCTAGACACCTTACAGAAGCCACCCAGGAAGTATACCTTGTGGGGGAAACAAGCCCATGCAAATGGGGAAAGGAAGGCAACACCCCTCTGCTCCTGTACAAACTGGGTGTTAAGCTGCAAAGACAGAGTCCTCCTCGGGCCCTCCCAAACACCTGAAGGGTTGGGATTTGGAGGGTTCTTCTAAATTAAATTTGTGGCAACTCCAGTAGGCAAGAAAGGCAGCAAGTAAGCTGCTCCTGACTTCCCATTTAATGGATACCTCATTACCACTCAGAAAGTAGAAATCCCAGACAGGACCCGGTTTCACATGTTCAACACCTGAAAATTCACTGTGGCAGTGACCATATGCCTTTGTGGATGTGACAACTTTTTTTTAGAGTCATTCCTGACTTTGACATTTTTAGTTTCATTTTTTTTAGTTCAATTTATTTTTTTAGTTCTATTTTTTTACTTCAAACAGAGCAATAGTCTACAATGGTTATAGGCAAAAGAAGCACAAATCTGTTCACATTAAACCCTTATCTGTGGGCCATACCCTGCAACCTCCTATTGATAATTGCCTCTATGTCCTTTGCCAGCTTGAAACCGCAGCTGCATTGAGCATCACCAGACCAGCAGCAGCTGCCAGTTACACCCATTGCAGTATTCCCCTTGCACAGCCTCAAAAGTACAAACTATCACAAAAGGTAATCTGCTGCAGAGAGGATTATCTTTAAGTATAGATTTCATTAGTGTTTTATTTTGCATGAGGTTTAAAATCATCTCTGTTTGTCCTAAGGCAGATGCAGATGCTAAGGGGTATTATATACTGGACTTATATAAGTCCGTGGGGAAAGAGAAACTAATTCAAATTGTTTTCCTGCTCTCAGAAGGCAATAGGATCACATGACAAGCACTGCAGAAGAACTCCCTGCTAAAAATAGCAGCATTTTAGGAAGATATTTCAGTCCTGTCGTGAATTCATTAATTATTCACTTCATCTGCAGTTTTTTTTAGCATTATCATAAATTTCTATCTTTGCAAGAACTACTTCCCCATGCCCTGAAGGAGAAATTTTAAAATAGCCTCTCTTTATCTGGCCCGTTTGATGGATCATGACAGTGCTGTGGTACACGTAACTAGCAGACCCTGAATCAGGAGGTTTGCACTGCACTGCACTCTGGATGAGTTAAATGGATTTCAAGCTCACAAATTCAATCTTCATTTTACAAGCTTATCCTATTTTAACTTTCTATTCACTTACAAGACAGCTACATCTCTTTTGTCCTTCAAAATTCTCAGAAATTCATGCACAAACATGAGGCAAATACTTCGACACGAAAATAACAGAGCAACCAGAATGTGGGATCAGATAGGTAGGGACATTAACAATTACCCTTTAAAAGAAATTAAAACATTTCTTTATACAGTCAAGCCTTTTCCTTCTAGGAGACTTTGAAATTCTGGTTGTGGTCAGACGCCATTGGAGTAAATCAGTGTTGACAACTTTGGATCAGATCCTGTAAGTAATGTGGCACACTGAAATCCCATAATATCCTTCTTCCCATGCCCTAGGAGAGTCTTACAATGATGTCTCATCCAGTACCAAGAGAGACAGAAATCAACATCCACCAGAATAGTCATTTATGCAGAATCACAGAATCCTTTGCTCTGGAAAGGACCTTTAAGATCCCGGAGTCTAACCATTAACCTAACCCTGATGAGCCCACCTCTAAACCATGTACCATCACAGCCCTACATAACATTAATACCTTAGGCTCACATTTTAAGTATGCATGTCTTTATTCCAGCCAGAAATGAGCATAACACAGAGGTGAGGCTGGTCCATCCTGCCAACATCACCCTCTTGTCTCACCATCTTAGGAAGGGAAAGTCTTGCTGAAAACCAACTCTCCCAGTATGGAAAGGATATGGTGTTTCCTGATCACATTTCTCCTTCTGGCTATGACTCTATGCACATTTGAAGAGCAAGATTTAGCCCTACAATGCAGCAATTTTTGCATACCTTTATTCCAGCAACTGACTTCTCTATCAATTTTCCAGTGCAAATATTTCCTTGCACCATACTTAAAGTTGCTGGACATCTTTGTCGAAAGCTGACACAAATACCAAACATACTCAACTGGAACAGCTATGGAAAGTAACCTGCATTCCTGTGAAAGGGGAGGCTGCCTGCCTTGCTCAAATCATTTAATTCAGGGCCAAATAAGGAGGTGACCTCAAAATTATATAAATCAGATGTTGCACCACATTCCACATGTTTTCTGTGAGAGCTGTTCATAGAGTATTCAACTACAAAGTGATTGATTTTCATTTTGCTACATTTCCATGCTTCACCTGTTTGGTTTTTTAACCTGTTGCTTAACTCAGAATGTGCAAATAATCACATTGTACAAAGATGCACATATTACAAAGACAAAACCCCAAGAAATATTTAATTCAGAAAACTGCTAATGGCTGGTCAGTGTTAGCAAGCTCAGGACCCCTTTCCCTTTTTACATTCTCCACCACCTAACAAGGAAAGAAAATAATTATGCTATCCTATTTCCAGGCAGATTGATTAAAAGATTCTAAAGTAATAAAGTGCATGTTTGCAGGCATCAAAATGAAAGTTCTGCTAGCTTGTTTTAAAATAGCTATCCATGTGAAATAGTTAATTGCAAATAAGTAGAAACACGTAAAACACATGTACACTGCTCAGAGAATGGTTTCATGACTCTAAAGAATGTAAGACATTTGTGCTGCTTGCTACTTGAAAGAACAGTACAGGGTCCTGTATAGAACACATCAATACTCTTTCTTTCTTTCTTTCTTTTAAAAAACCCTATGGAGCTAAAACTTCAATTTATTTTGTTATCTGACAAAAGAAAGCCTCTTCAGACCATCATTCCTAAAATCACAGCAAGTACCTTTCATGCCAAGCAAACTACTCTTGTTCTATGCCATGTGTAGTTTTCCCTTTTGCAAACTGCTACACTGATTCAGCAGAGACAAGAAAACACCTAATCCAGAAGTTCAAACAACTATTAACAAGAAATACATCTGATGTAGTCAACACTTCCTATATACCTGCTGCACACTAACACCTTGTTAATCCACCCTGTCTTAATAAAAGTCATGTTTATATGTATAATCTCCTGAGTAATTTCATGCAAATCCCTCATTATGGCTACATGGCATTACTGAAAACTGCATGTGTAGTGAAGGGAAACAAAGAAAAACCCTGTTCTCCTCTGAAGCAGTTTGCTTTGCTGCTCTGCCTACCAACACACACATTTTACATGCCATTGGCCCTTCCCATGCTGTAATGCAAACAGCCTCTAGAACACACTATGTTCAGCTAATAATTAACACTCATCCAGAGCTGTCATAAATAAAGGTCTAGCTTAGCATTTGCTGTGGCATTTTCTGTACTCTCATGCTAAGCCTGTTCGTTTCTGGCTGGGTGAACCACCTCCAGCCACAATGAGAAGCCAAATACCAATGTCCAAGCAGCACCACTTTCTTTTCCAAATTAGACCACAGTGTGAGTCAAGCCCT